TTGTTTAGACACAACTTGCAAAACAACACCATGGAAAAGCGTTCAAGTTTGCCAAGCTGCTTCAAGATGATTTTTTGGTGCAGAAGGGACACATACTTGACGCGATGTCATAGCATGTGGGTACAACATCTGGGCCTTGCTCAACAAGCCAAATTTCTACACTTTGGAATGAATTTTATGTTGAAGATTCAGTTAGATTTTATAGCTTTTATTTAGAAATATAACTATAAGATTTGCTGAAAAATGTGAAGATCAAATCAAGTTTAAATACGATTTAAATTTGAATTTGATTTAAACCAAGTATATGTTTCTGTTGGAGATATTTACAGAACAAATAATATCCAACTGATTATGGAAAGATTCTGGACAAAATTAAAGCTAAGATCCAAAGGAGAAAATCCTATAATACTTTTTTATATAATGAGCTCAAGACCTACATTGGAAAAAAGGAATATGCATTGACTATTTAGAGTGCTAGAGTTTAGAGTCCTTGTTATTTATTTACGTACACCTTTATGTTTTAGTAACATGGCATATAAGGTTTATCTAGTTGAGTTTTAATATTAAACATTGATAATTGGGTTAAACACCAATCACTAGGGTTTAGTGATTGATAGAAAGTGATAGGGGTTCTCATATTTAGGGAGAATCCTAAATAGAAAGTCACTGGGTAGTGTTTGGAAGAGGCATTAAACAACATAGGGCTTGTTGTTGCTTGTAAGACTAATTATACTAAGGCTACTAATAATGAATTTCCTTTCTTGGGTTGGAAGTCAACCCTCTAGGTGTAGGTTTTTTTTGCATCGAACTAGGTTACCAATTATTGTGTTCTTTATTGATTTTCTGATACATCATCTTGTATAATTGAATACATGTTAATTATGGTGATTTTGGTTTATCTTGTTGAACCACTTGTCTAGAACATTGTGTTCGACGTCTTTCCCATGAGAAACAAAATTTCATTCTTCAAGATTTCATTGTAATCAAGGGTTTCTTCTCCTAGCTTCCTTTCAGCTTCAAACCTTCTTTGAAGAACATACTTCCATTTATGAACACATGTTTTATAATGGAAAATCACAATATCCATGTGAGCAGTGTTAACATCCACTTGAAATCTCTTCTCTCTGACCTTTCTCCTTAAGGTAGACACACTATCTTGGACCTCTACTTCACCATTTGCCTCAGAATCCTTATTTTCACAAACTTGTTATCCACTTCAGACTTAGCAAGGGAACCTTGCTCATCGTTCCTCTGAGTTTGAACCTTAGTCAACAATATGTCACACATGTTGTCTGCCACATCTAGGTGGACATATTCATTACCTTTATTGATGACATCATTGATAATTTGATTGCTCCAAAACAGTTGTGTGCAACTTCTTTCAGCATATGTGCCTTAAGAACCACATGAGTAATTCTTCACTTAAAAAACAGGAAAACAACTTACATCTTCTACCAAGTTGAACTTAAGGTTAGACTGCATCTGATGAACCACGTTCTCCACCAGGACACCAACACACATGAGAACTGTCTCAAGACTCTCATTATCTTTCACAGTGACTTTCTCCAACAGCTGAACATCCACTTCAAATGCCAAAGCTTCTCTCAACAACATCCTATCAAGGGATAAATACTTCCACTTCAGCACAATATCCTCATAAAAGAAAGGTAAGTTACAATTATCAACACCTTCATTGACATGTTTAGACCTATCATGAACTTCCTTGTTCACATGGATAGAACTGGCACAATCATTGACAATATCATAAATGTTTTCATTCCCTTTATGATCCTTTTCATGAGTAGCCTTGTCACGATACTTGGTCAAAATCTTCATGATCTTCTTCATCATGATGGCAAAAGGTAAGTATTTAGTTTTCAAATTCGAGTTCCTATTGAAGAAGGTACTTTGTTCATCCATCTGGTTAAATTGGAGCTTCAGGATGCATGACAATATAGGTCTCAAACTGATGGCTCCAAAAGTATCAACATCACATACACTCCCATCTTCTCTAACAGGTAGCATAAGGTTACCTGATTTTTCAGTAATAACTTATTTCAAAGCAAGACCATTGATATCAATATCTTCATCATTATGGGGAGTCATATCATCTACAGATTATGTGTTCTTAATAAACAATCCAAACTCTTTGCTCTTAACATCACAAACTAAAAGTACATTTTCATCCTTACTCATCACATCTTCATACCATGTCTCCACATACTTTACTGCATGCTCATGGTTATTAACGACACAATCATTGGATAAAACAGTATCAACTTCATGATCATCATTCTCCTTATGTATTTGAGACTGTGTCAACATGTCAGACAAGGCGTCTGGCACATCATTATCATCATTTTGACTTCCCAGATTGGTTTCATGGGTCTCTTCACCAAAAGACATATGAGTGAGATGATGATTCTTCATAGGACCATACATATTAGGGACATTATTTACAATTCCACCAGTATCTAGATCAAATATTTTGACATGTGGAACATATTTCTTGACATACAACCTGATTTTGAACTATCAGGATACTGTAAAAAATTGGTTAACATTGCTTTTTATACAAATATATTTTATGTATTTTATCACGAATTTTTTTAATAATAATTTTTTCATTGTGAAACAAGAATTGTGAATGAATTGAGATGGTGGACTCATATACTGTTCTGGACCGATCACATGGATCTCAAATGATTTATACCGACCATACAGATCTCAACCTACAATCCGATAAAGGTCTCACTCCTTCTAGAATCTTCCTAAATCACATCATATTATCATCTTTATCATCTTAATAGATCTGGACGCGCCAAAGGTGACAAGTTTCAAATGCAATTTCATTTCACTTTTCTTTTTCATATACTAACTTTGGAGTTAGAGTGCTAACCTTGAGGATTCCTTAACTCCACTGCGTCGAAAGCCATGATCCTCCATCACCGTCAACTACCTTTTTTTTTGTTTTTGATTCTAGAACAGAACAGTGACCCTGTCTATAGAAATTGACTTTTTATTTCTACAATTTCTATGAGTTCACATTCACTTTCAAAATTTTGCAATTCGTAACTATTTTCGATCACTGGAGCAATTGTTAGTACTATATGCGAGAATCCACTATGTTCTAATTCGATTTAGCATAATTTCAGTTTTATTTCCTCATGTTTTCTCAGATTTTCAATTCTTACTTTCATTAGAGATGAATGGATCTAAGGCTACCAGATCCGCTGTTGTTGTTGCTTTATCAACAAGTAATTTATCACCTCTTCCTCCTTCATAGAATGTCGCAGATCCTAGAGCAACTGCCTCTTCTTTTGTTACATCTAGATCCAATTCAAGCTTCACAAGTGTCTAGATATATTAAAGTTAATCTACTAGAAACTCATGTTCCACTTTCAGCTACGTAACCTGAAGCCTTACCTGACCTCCATACTCTACAAGCAAACTTCAGTGTGCATTGTGATTTAGGAAGGTGATGGCAGACATCTGTGAGTCCGATTGATGAATATTTTGAATTTATTTGTAAGTTAGTCCATTTTACACGATGTTGATAGTTGGTATTGAAAATTCTAGTCTGTGTTCTTCCAGTGAAGGAAATAGTTAGTTGAGAATGAACCTTTCTAGTGGAAAATCCGTGAATTATGATCTGGGAAGATGATAGTGGGCCTTAAGGAGTCCAATTGATGAAATGTTTTAATTTTTTTTTCTTAGTCAATTTTACACGATGTGTACGGTTTGATATAGAAAATTCTAAACAATGTTCTTCTAGTAAAGGAAATAGTTAGTTGAGAAGGACTCATTCTAGTGGAAGACTTGTGAATTGTGATTTGGGAAGGTGATGATAGACCTCAGGGAGTCCGAATGATAAAATTTTTGAATTTGTTTGTTTCTTAGTCCATTTTACACGATATAGACGGTTTAATATTGAAAATTCTAGTCGGTGTTCTTCCAGTAAACGAAATAGTCAGTTGAGTATGCCCTTTTCTAGTGTAAGACTTGTGATTTGTGATTTGTGAAGGTGATGGTGGACCTCCGAGAGTCTTGTTGATGAATTTATTGAATTTTTTGTATGTAGTCTATTTTACACAATGTTGACGATCTAATATTGAAAAATCTAGTTAGCATTCTTTCAATGAAGTAACTAATCAGTTGAGAATGAATCTTTTTAGTTGAAAATATGTGAAGTGTGATATGGGAAGGTGACATTGGACCTTTAAGAGTTCAATTGATGAAAAAAACTATTTAATTTATTTCTTAGTCAATTTTAGACGTAAAAAACCTTTCGATATTAAAAAAATGTTATAGTGTTTTTCTAGTAAAGGAAAGTGTCCGTTAAAAAAATACCCATTTTTATGAAAAACACGTGAATTGTGATATGAAAAATTCTACAAAATTCTCCCTCTGTTAAATTGAATTGACCACAAATTCTTTTAAAGTTTATAATAATATATGTATTTTTAATTTTAGATTTATTTTCTTTTTCATTTAATATTTCCTAAAATAACATATTTAAGTCCATTTAAAATTACTTTTCATGTTGGATAGAGTTACAATTTAATTTTTGTTGAGAGTCTATTAATTTTACACAAAATTTTATTAGTTTTGATTTTTATATTAGTAAAGTATACATTTTTTATCAAGTAAATTTTCTATATTTTTTAAGTCTTTAAACGATTATTTTCTTGAAGACCTACACTTGGATTGATTTATTAATATATTATGTGATAAATTAACTAAATTTATTATAAATAATAATTTATAAAATAAAATAAATATTATTCTTAAAATCAATATATTATCATTCATAAATAAATACAATAGAATTCAATTTTTTATTTTCTTATTTATATATCATATAAAATATAAAATAAAAGAATTAGAAAAACTAAATAACATGGTGCAAATCTGAATATCTCAATCAACACTTTCTCGCTTCGATCTTCTTCTGTTTCTTCGTAGTACCTCTTTACGTTTCCTCATTCCTACAGTTTAATATGCAGGTTCGTTACTTCTCACCACCATCATCATCGTCATCATCTTTGAATTTAATGGATGTAATTTTTGTGTTTTGAATCAACCTGTATTGAATTGAGTAGCTCTAGATCTTATTTGTTGATGCTTAGGGTTAGGTTGTTTTTGAATTCAATTGCAAGATGATGATCATGTGTTAGGGTTGCAATTGAATACACGATTGAAAAACAAGAGAGATTGTTAAGAAGGATTTTGAGATTAATGATTTGGATAGAAGCATAGTTCTAGGGAGAATATTATGGCAGAAGTTCTTTCATGTATCTGACTCCTCTCAGTGGATGAGGCTTGGTTGTTGATGTTGTTGTTGTTGTTGTGTGGCTTTGAGGCTGCTTTTATTGTAATCTCTTGCAATTTTGTAGCAAGCTTAGCATTGATTTTGGATTTGTTGTGTTTTAAACTCAGGCATCAAGGGCAAGGCTTTTCAAGGAGTACAAAGAGGTGCAACGAGAGAAGACGGCCGATCCTGATATTCAACTGGTTTGTGATGATTCTAACATTTTTAAGTGGACTGCTCTTATCAAGGTATGATAGCTAATGTATAAGCAAAAAAAAAAAAAAACAATTTTGCACTTATTTAGAAAAGTAGTTAGTCGCATTTAATTTTCTCACGGTAATAAAAGAGTAATTGTATTTTGCGAATTGCTACTCAGGAGAATCTGTTCCATGAGAATAAATGGTTAAAAAGATAAATCTAAATCACCATAGTATATTGTTGCTTATATTTGAGACGGAGGGAGTATGTAAGATTTTCAACCAATATTTGATGATCTGTTTGCTCTGGTTTATTTTGTTTACAAATAGGGACCTTCAGAGACTCCTTTCGAAGGGGGTATCTTCCAGCTTGCATTTTCTGTTCCAGAGCATTATCCTTTACAACCGCCTCAAGTCCGGTTTTTGACTAAAATATTTCACCCGAATGTGCATTTTAAGGTAGGATGGATTCCTCATGATGCTTTTCACTTTCAGAACGTAATTATTTGATTTCTACAGTGTATTATAGTATCCTAATTTGTTTCAGTGATAATGGTTTCACAAATTTTCCATCTAAGTGATGCATATAGTTTAGTAAAAACTGTCTAGAAGTCATTTGCATGTGAGTGAATGGGATATGATACCCTAGTAGTGTGTCTATTAGTGCTATGAACCATCAGTGTGAAGTTAGCGGTATTCACAAGCAGTGTTATCAAACATCCATCATGGCGGATATCACTGGCTGTTTTTGGGCTCGCCGCAATAGTAAATATTGCAGGGTTTTCTTCCATAACTCACTACCCCGACGCCACAAATCGGCCAGTATGATGTGATTTTGGCTCTCCACCATGGACCGCCATCTACCACTGACAACATTGTTCACAAGTTGGCTTGTTTCAAGTTTGTGGTATAGAAAAATCGAAACATGTTGCAATTGATTGGATTAGTTTTTAGACAATAATTAAACTAATTTCAAATGTTAGTATTATATTTAATTTACATTTAGTTTTTTCCTCTGTTTTTTTGTTTAATATATTTACCCATAATATTATAGCAAGGTTGGATAATAAACATGACCAATACAAACACTAGATGCAATCAAAACTAACAAATTTTCCATGACTAGCTAGGCACATGAATCTGAATATGATTGCTATTCTTATTTGAAGAGAAAATATGATTGCTACTAATTCCAACATGTGTTTATACTTGTTCTCGGCTGTCTTGATTACCTTCTCTATGGTGGGTAGACCAATGGTTTTAACAGTTTATGGGTGGCTGATATGTTAGAAACTAATTTGTTTATCTATTTCCTCCCCTTTGAGTTTCATATGAACTCATTTGAGATTGATAGCAATATTGGTTTGAGTTCCTGGCCAATTTTTTTTCTTTCCTTCTGTTCTGAATAAGTTTGATTGTTAACTTCTTTATATTGGATTTGTTTTTCTTGACATTTTTTCATGAATATTTTTTAACCTCTGGTAATTTTCCAGACAGGGGAGATCTGCCTAGATATCTTGAAAACTGCTTGGAGCCCTGCTTGGACTTTGCAGTCTGTCTGTAGGGCTATAATTGCTTTGATGGCTCATCCAGAACCTGACAGCCCACTGAATTGTGATTCAGGTTGCCAAACTCTGTATTTCATACCATTTTCTTATTTGTCTTAGTATCGCGAAATGCAAAGAAGTTATATTCTCCTCCCTCTTCCAAATGATAAATAGAACTGCCATAAAAATAAACTGGTATCATATATGAATCCAATGTAGTATATGGCTTTACGTTGATTAAAGTTGTTCACATTGAAGTTGGAATTGATGATCGTAAAAGGGCAATAGGTATGCCAATAAACTATTTTTAAACATCATCATGCCTATCTATCAATTATGCTTGGGAGATGGGCGTGGTAATCCCTTATTAACGAGGGCCATTTTGTTGTCTTCAACTTTGTACTATTTGAATTTACATGTATGCTTCTAATTTTGTGTTATTTGTTACAGAATTGCCCGGTAGTATTTTGGTAATTATTTGGTAGATAAAGAACTTCAGATCCTTTAGCCCCCAACTCATTCCAAAACATATACACCTTAATTTCTCTGTACTGAAACAAAACAAAAGTGAGCTGAAAACTTGTAATCTAGTTGGAGAGGAAGACATTTCTCATTTATTTCCTTTTGGCTGTGTAGGTAATCTTCTGCGTTCAGGTGATGTTAGAGGGTACCAGTCCATGGCAAGAATGTACACGAGGCTTGCAGCAATGCCAAAGAAAGGCTGATTGATTTCTGATAACTTCTGTTGTCTAGTTTTAAAAAGTTAGCAGTTAATGTAGAAGTTCTTTGTTGAAATCTTAATTTGTTAAAAGTGTATACATTTTATTTAAGACATGATTGTTGTTTGTTGTTGTTCTAGGATATGTATTAATGTGGTGACTTGTACAAAGTGTCAATGTGACTTCATGTATGTATCTAGACTTGAGCCAGAATTGAGCTGAACAATTAACTGTGCTTTAATCTCTCTTGATCTCTGTGTAATCTCACTTGATCTCATCGCAACAAAAGTGTTGGGATCCTTTAGCTTCTTATCCTGGTGAGTTGTAAGCGTAGAAATTATTTCATGAGCGACATTTGCTATTAGACTAACTCTTCACCATGAATCTCACCATGTCTTCACCCATCTTTGTCTTTGGTTGCTACTACACTTTTAAAAACCTAATACTTTTGAGATGCATATTCATTCAGTCATCTATTTGATAAAGAAGTCAAAAAGTTTAATTTCTCAAATTTCAATGCATAGTTCATTTTGTTGCATCTAGAGGATGACAATCAAGAGTATTGTCGTCATCTGAATTTATGTAGGTTTTAATTGTGATTAAGAATTTGAAGTAAATGGTCCAAGAGCGATTTATTTACATCTGATTGTCTATTCATAATTATTCAATCAGTAATTCATTGCATTTACAAGATATTTGCATTTTTTAACTTATAACAACATATATTTTGTTTCGTATAATGCTTAAAATATTACTCAGAATAAATTTTCGAATCTACATATAGACCGGTCGAATTAGTGGGCGAAAATTTTTAAAATTGAGCTTGCAGACATCAGTATTATTAATCTATGTTTCACGTAGTTTAATTTGTTATGCTTGTTTTATTTTTTTGACTATTTTTTCTGTAGCATTTTTACCTGCCTGAACTTTTTACCGGTCAGAATTTATTTTAAAAATTAATCAAACGTTGTATGTTTTGAATAAATTTATTTTGTATTTGTCATTTTAATACGTTCTTTTTTTTCCTAGCATTTTTTTCGTCCGACTTCTTTTATTTTTTGACCGATTATTTTTGTTTTCTTTTAACAAAATATTCGTTTTAATTAATTAGTTTTTTCTACGTTCTTGTTTCGATTAATTTGTTTTAATAGTTTATTTTTATTTCTGATTTAGTTTTTTAAAATCCTTTTTACACTCTTTTTATTCATAGAAAGCATTTTGGGGCCTTTCATAAAATAGCAAATCAACCCAGATTAATATGTGGCTGATTGAAATTAAAAAAAAAAAAAAAAAAAGACCACATCTTTGTCTATGCGTGGCGCATATTTTGAGGGTGGATCTTGAAATCAATAAAAGAGAATGGACCGGACCCTCTCTTCATAAAAAAGGCAACGGTGCTTTGCTCTTTCCATGCTCCAGTATGATTTTTCTTTGGATTTGGGGCTCAGGATACGATGATAGGTCTCAATAGGTCTTTCATATATAAGCGATGTCTCATTTATTTATTTTTTAATTTAATTTTTAATAATTAGCAATAGTTTTTAACCGTCACTAAATGTTATGATTTATTTTGTAACGTTTTTTACTGTCACTAAAAAATACTGTTTATTTTGTAACGGTTTAAAAATCGGTGATAATTGTTAAAAAATAAACAGTAAATTTTTACCGACGATTTTTAACAGTTACTAAATTTTACTGTTCATTTTGTAACACTTTTTAGTGTCATTAAAAATTTACTGATCATTAGTGACGATTAAACGTCGCTAATTGTTAAAAATGGAAGAAAAATAAACATTACTTACGTGAGAGACTTTGGCTTTGGTAAACAAACTCCCAAACCGCCCTACTCACTCTTCCAGACAAATATCTCATGAAAAACTCTTCCAACAAAATATCATAGTATCAAGACACGGTTTCCTCTTCATCATATATACCACCATAACCTTTTTTCATTAAACCTTCAACCAAAAACTCACACAATACCACCATCTTAATCTTCTTTTACAAACAACCATTGTTCTCATCTTCTTCAAATATCCACAAATCATAACCATCACAACATCCTTCACGGTTCAACCACACAAATATTCATACTCATCCAAAACCACCATGTCACCTCTCTTCATCATTCTTCGACGTGGAACTTCCCACAACTCACACAACATCATCAACTAACTATCATCATCATCTTCCCTTACCTACTTTTTCTTCTTTCAAACACATTTCACAATAACAACCTCTTCAGTATTCTCTCTCTCTCTCTCTCTCTCTCTCTCTCTCTCTCTCTCTCTCTCTCTCTCTCTCTCTCTCTCTCTCTCGAAATACCATCAAAGTGTTAGATGATAGACTTCGATCTAGAGGAGACGAATAGAACACATATTTAAAATAAAACATTTTTGACAAAATTTGTTTTCAAAAAGTATGACACAGCGGAAAAACAACCTGAATCGAATCGTCTAACTGAACCTACTATCGAAAATCTATACACGCAAACATAAACCTTATAGAATGATAATGAACACATTGTTCAACAATGATCAAGTCACATATCAATCAAATGCAAAACTACTTATAATGCCTATTTCAAATGAACACAAACGATAAAAATACTCAAAGACAATTTATCGAACATTTTGCGTGCGATTGGTTACGTTCGTAAATTCGACTTATTTTGTTGATGTAAAAAGTCAATCACAATCAACGTAATTGTGATTGTGATTATATCAACAACAATAATTTAAAAGAAAGTTAAAAGCAATTTTTAATCGAATTAATCGAAACAACAACAAAATCGATAATTTGCAAAGACAACAATTAAAGAAAATTAAAGCGATAAAGAGACACAAAGATTTATTTAGGCAGTTCCCTAATCGGCCCTGTAACACCCTTCTAAGCACCACAGAATAATACGTCATTGTCGCTTCCGCGAAAATAAGGTGCCGGCAAAATAGAAGAGTCGCCACCTTTCGTTATTTATCCCTCAGAACGGGAAAGGAAACGATCGGAAAAACCTGACGAAAAAGGGTAAGACAAGGTCGTCGCAACCGTTGTCTGGGTTCGGGAGTCGGTTACGCAAGGGGAAGGTATTAGCACCCCTCACGTCCGTCGTACTCGAAGGGATCCACGCTTGTTGTGTTTACTGGACGAGTTGGTTTATCTATCTACCTATCAAGGCTGGCTTAAACAGAAAAGAAAATGACTCGGCAAAGCGTCGCGCTTTATGCCTACGTATTCTCATCAGAGAATGAGAAATCAGAGTCAACGTAGTTCGACCTACGACGGGTTATGGGGAAGGTAGCTCACCAATACGTCAGTATTGTGCCTACGTACTCTCAACAGGTATGTGAGATCAGAGCTTACGTAGTTCGGGATAACTACGGTTTACGGGAATTCAGATTCATCTGTTTTATCGAGTAGGGTTAAACAGCAGTTCTTGCAGTTAGGGACAAAGCCTGTTTGCGTTGGCGCTGAAGTTTAACGACACTCTTTTCTTCAGAAAAGCTTTCCTTTGAATTACAGGCCCACGGGGCAAAAAGGTTTGAAGTTTGTTTTCTGTCTTTTACGAAAGAGGTGTTTTTTATTGTGTTTGCAATTTCAATCGCACTAAAGACTATGACCTGAGAGTGAATGCGTCGCATGTCACCCAAAGGGTGCCATACTAAACATCCAGACTGTTGAAAAGAAGCTCTCCAACAATCCCCTCTCAGATAGCTTAAGGCTCGTAACGTACGAAAGAAATCATTCATGATTACTGTATCTTAAGCTGTTTTGAGATGAGAAGAGAACAGGCTCAACTAATGGGGAGACTATCAAGTCCTACTGTTGTCATGACAAGGATTCATCCTATGGTTGAGGTTTGAAATAGGGAACTCCTAGAAGTTATCGTGCATAGGTTTCAACCTAAAGTTCTATCATCACTTCCTTATCAAAGGAAATGAGAGTCCTAAGGGATCATGTCAATGATAAACAGAAACGGATAAAGCATCAGCTTAAACAGTAAACAGTAAACAGTAAACAGTAAACGACTGTAAAATGCATGCAATGCAAGTGAGGGAGGAAATGTGTGTGGGGCAGCAGCCTCCACAGGCTCATCTCAACCTCAAGCCAGAATGAATAACAGTAATCATACTGAGGAAAATAACATGCTATCAAGCAAAACAGTGAACTGCAATCATATAGAGGAAAATAGAACATGCTATCAAGCAAAAACAGTAAACTGCAATTATACAGAAGAAATAAAATCATGCTATCAAGCAAAATAAACCACATGGGCAAGGGAGCAGACCTCTACCGAATACCCGCAAGCAAAACCATACAATAACAATACAAGCAGAGGGAGCAACTCAACCTCTAGTGCAATCATGCTCCTAGATTAAAGTTAGTCTAGATATGGACTTATTCTAATGCATCAAGCAAGTCAAACAAGGCACATCAGCAATACAGAGAAGCAACAGACAAGAGAACAGATCAACTCCTCTCTCTCTCAATTCCAAGCTTCAGCTCTCTTGACAGCAACTCAGTCTTCAGACTTCAATCACCCTTCAAGGCTCCCATCTCTCATGACAAGTATCAACTTGCTTTTCCAAGTTTCAACCCTTCAACATAAGTGTCAACTTGTCCTTTCTTCTTCAAGCTTCAGCTCCTTAGTCAATTCCACCTTCAGGCTTCACTCTTAACTACAAGTATCAACTTGATTCCTTCAGGATCTCACTGCATCAGAGTAAGCATCAACTCATCCTCTGTTCTTCAAGCCTCAGCTCTACACTCAATCTCAATTGAATCCTCCTCATAAGTATCAACTCAGTCTTCAAGCTTCAGCTTTCTTACTTCTCCAATATCAACTTGGTCTTCTCTTCCTACAAGCTTCAGCTTCTCAGAATAGTCCCCAATCATTTGGAGGTGTCAACTTCATCCTTCAGTCTTTAAGCCTCAGCTCTTCATTCAGTCTTTACTGGATCTTCCTTGGGTCTTCAAGTATCAACTTGCTCTTCCTGCTCTTCAATGAA